AGGGAGGGGAGCGAGGGGGTGGTATAGAAGTGTACAGATATCACACGGATTTTATGAATACGCATATAATTATAGTATAATGATATACACGTCATCAGCAGCCCGTAATATTCTCGGGTTCGTGTAAGAGGCACAGGAGGGGGCGGGAGCACGTCAGCCCCCTGCGAGGGGGGGCGTGCGCGCAACGGCGAGGTTTTCTTAACACTAACATTCACAATAAAAACACTTTACGATTTACACGAGAGAATAGGCGGTCTCCACGCTCCTTCTTGTCAACAGTCGTCCAGCCTCTCTCGCAACAAGAAGTACAAGTCTAAATTTCCACAACAAAATACGCACATATTTTATCACAGATAAAATGCAATGACGACAACACACAGACGAGTATCGCCACGCCTAGTGCAGCCAGGCACTGGAGTGGCCACGGAACCAACACCGATAAAATTCACACAACACGGTTACTATGACTGCAAAACCTCCCTAACATCTAAAAATGCTCCTCACAACCCTTCGTCGCGTAGAAAATCCGGGACACGTAGTTACGCATTGAACGATCATAGCGTGACTGCGGACCAGTCGTCCAGGGTTGAAGTGTCCGTGGGTTTCAGATCCGTATAATATATATATCTGACAATATATACTTACTAATATATACTATAGAGTACATAATTATGCCATATAAATATAATAGTTGAGTGTTGTAGATAAATTAAAAGGACATGAGGACATCGCACTTTCTAGCTAGTTAGTCCGAGTGTTCACCGGCTTACGCGCGATATTCAGACAAGACTCTTAATAGCAAAAACAACACCTATATACATACTATAACCTATATATATATATATATCACACCTCGGCTGGCAACTAATGGATTTTAGTTAATAATTGCTATTATATCTTATATATCACTGCCCGGCAACCGGTAACGCCGCCTATAGTTACTAGAGCTATAGACAACTACATAACCAATATATAACTAAAATTAACAGCGCCCATCAATGTATATATCAGTTAGGTTACTAGTATGTATATCGGAAGGTCTATTCTTTCAGTATAAGAGGTCGTCTGACTAATCGCGGTACGCGTCGAACTCGAGTATAGCAAGCTAAAAGTCGATCGTCTTGTCTTTAATCTTATTCTACAGACTACAATTTATTATTATTTATTATTACTCAAGCATCCAGACTTATATATATATATATTGCATATATTCGTACAATAAGGTAGAAATTGTTGGCGCCTGTGCGTCACACACAGAGAGACGCTTCACACGCGAATATCAGAATAAGCCGGAAAGAAATTATGAAAATAGATGACATTACATATTCGATCGCGAATTTGAGCGAACTAATATATAATTCTATAGACGGAGTAAGGACCGTGGGATTTCTAGGTGCAGTGAGGCAGAGAGCTGACATCAACCGACTTTTCACTGCGCAGCTCAATCACCACAACATACATAAATGTATACGTATATATATATATATATATATATATTCTGATTTTACTCGGTTCGATAATAGACATTTGGAACATTTGGAAACGGAAACAGAGAAAGAGAGAGACAGAGAGACAAAGAGAGAAAGAGAGAGAAAGAGAGAGGGGAGGCAAATAAAACAAAGACAGATATAGAGAACGCACGCGATTCATCGACATGCTACACTAATGCTGATATATATATCGGGGCTGAGTATCGGAGCGCATCGGCAGGCCGCACACAGCAGCCGCTTCCGCCGTGTGTGCGCATACATATTGCATTTCGGATTAACTGGAAAGCAAACCCGTCACGTTCTCGCTCTCCCTCTCTTTTTCTCTCTCTGTCTATTTTTCTTCCCCTCTCTCTCTCTCTCTCTCTCTCTCTCTCTCTCTCTCTCTCTCTCTCTCTCTCTTTCTCTCTCCCTTTCTCTTTCTCTCTCTCCCCCTCTCTCTCTCCTACTGTCTCTCTATATCTTTCTCTCTCTCCCTTTTTCTTGACTGTCACTGTCTCTCTCTCTCTCTCTCTCTCTCGCGCGCTACCAGCAGCTGTATATTGGTTCTAGCGTGGTCACGTGAATTATCCAAATGTGCAAGAGAACGATTTGGGTTTTTACCGAACGTCTTAATGTAAATATCAGGGCATGGGTCGGGATGCC